TATTCAGATGATTCTAATGTAGGTGTCTCTGGACCATATGCTGAGCAACACTAGTTTTAAACATAAAAAAAATTAACACATACCTATGGTAAGAAATACCTTTGGGGCGCCTGGGTGGCTCAGTCGTTAAGTGTCTGCCTTCGGCTCGGGTCATGATCCCAGAGTCCTGGGATCGAGCCCCGCATCAGGCTCCCTGCTCAGCGGGAGGCCTGCTTCTCCCTCTCCCACTCCCCCTGCTTGTGTTCCCTCTCTCGCTGTCTCTCTATCAAATAAATAAATAAAGTCTTTAAAAAAAAAAAAAGAAATACCTTTTATATCATGATCCAGTTCACACACACATTTATATACATATATATCTAAAAGAAAACTTTCATAAATACTGACCTTTACTATGTGTCCCACCTATGTGTCATATCATAGCCTGATATTTTCTATTTTATTTAATTTCCTTACAAAAACATTGCCCACAACCAACCATATTGATTTCACATCATTTATCTCTTTTAACCTTAACATCAGTGCTGCAATGTAAGCACTCTTAACTGAGTATTTCTTATTTGGAAACACAACCTTGGGGAAGATTAATGTGCTCAATGTAACACATTAAGTAAGTGGCAGAGGTGGAATTCAAACTCAGAATGCCTGGCCTTAAATGGCCCTTCTCTGCCCTCACCCTCATACAAACATCCTGAAAAAGCCTAGCAAATCTCCAATTCTGGAGTACATTCAGACAACTCCTGGCTTCCCCAGTTGAATCCTATCACCTTTGAATAGCGATTTGAAATTTCTTTTTTTTTTTTTAAGGGCAGCAGCAAAATGTTTTATTTAAAGGAATCTCATTGGCGATCCTTTTTTGAATTACCTTTGTTTATTTCTTTTATTATTATGTTCAGTTAGCCAACATATAGTACATCATTAGAAATTTCTAAGAGAAAAAGAATTTGACTCAACTTGGACCAGGTGTGATCCATTCTGCTGTAGTCAAAAGATGCTGAGGGTGGGGTCACCTAGTATAGTCATGGTCACCTAATCCCTACAGCAAGGGTTGAAGCTGGAGGACAGTGATTTCAAACAAAGGGCAAAGGGCTCAGCAGTCACAGAGAAACACATTTACTATATCTGTATTCCTCCTCATTTGAGCAGGGTAGTTTTTTAGCTCCCTTTCCAGGTCCTCACTGCAGCATCATACCAGGAGAAACTAGAACAGTATAATCCAAGTCTCCATCTCCCAACCCCTGCCAAACTTCTGCCCTCCTCACCTCCCCAAATGCACAGCAGGGATAGTCCTGGAAGTTCTCAACTGAGGCAAAGGAGAATGCCAAAATGAAAGGGGCATCTCCTTCAGTCTTTGTGACTGAGGACAGTGACTGACTTACTGGGTCAATAAAGATCTTAGGAGATTCAACAGTAGCTGATTCTTCTCTGTGTTTGAGGTTGTCACTGTTGTCCCTTTCTTCCCTGGGTCCCAGCATCAGGTTTTTGCATAAGATTCTCAAAACCTGACATTGTTACATAATTCAAACTTCCCCAGTTCCAAGACACTATTTTAACCTTCTGAAAAATGAAAAATTGCAAAATTTCTCTCAAAAGTTGTTGAATAAAGAAAAAAGGATTATTAGTGTTTTTGAAAAGTATTCAAAATAGAAAATTAAGGGGTGCTTGAGTGACTCAGTTGGTTAACCATCTCACTCTTGGTTTCGACTCGCATCATGATCTGAGGGTTGTAGGATCAGGCCCCAAGTCGGGCTCTGCACTCAGTGGGGAGTCTGCTTGGGATTCTCTCTCTCTCCCTCTGCCCTTCCCTATGCTCATGCACTCCCTCTCTAAAAATAAATAAATAAATAGTTTTTTAAAAGTAGAAAATTAATGTGACAGTTCTCTGACACATGTTCCTTCCTATAAAGACTAGCTATGGAAGTTTCAATGATGCCAAGAAACATAAGACTAAGTAAATCAAAAGGCTATAAAAGCATATGGAATTTTTAAATAGCTAAATGCTTTTTGGACAAATCAAAGAGTACTTTCATCTAAATCCCTTGTTTTCTTCCCACCCTTAAGGAAGACTGACAATTTCTTTTTTTTTTTTTTTAAAGATTTTATTTATTTGCGAGAGAGAGAATGAGAGACAGAGAACATGAGAGGAAGGAGGGTCAGAGGGAGAAGCAGACTCCCTGCCGAGCAGGGAGCCCGATGCGGGACTCGATCTTGGGACTCCAGGATCATGACCCGAGCCGAAGGCAGTCGCCCAACCAACTGAGCCACCCAGGCGCCCCTGACAATTTCTTTGATTAAAATAATAGTTTGAAGTGTTTTTTTTTATTTTCTTATTTTTTAAATATTTTATTCATTTATTTGAGAGAGAGAGAGAGAGCACAAACAGGAGGGAGGGGCAGAGGGAGAGAGAGAAGCAGACTCTCTGCTGAGCAGGGAGCCCAATGTGGGACTCGATCCCAGGACCCTAGGATCATGACCTAAGCTGAAGGCAGACACTAAACCAGCTGAGCCACCCAGGCACTCTGAAGTGTTTTTTAAAGAATATTTTTAAGGTTTTGGGTTTTTTAAAAATATTTTATTTATTTATTTGAGAGAGAGAGCAAGAAAGAAAGCACAAGCTGCAGAAATGGAGAAGCAGGCTCCCCACTGAACAGGAAGCCTGATGTGGGCTGGATCCCAGGACTTTGGGATCATGACCTGAGCTGAAGGCAGATGCTTAACCAACTGAGCCACCCAAGTGCCCCAAGATTTTGTTTTCTATTATTTTCAATATTCTTAAAAGTCTTCCTTTCTTTAATATGGTAAAATAAAGATTGATTTTTGACTTGTCTTATAAATAGAATTTAATAATGTTTACTTCTAATTAAACTCTAAAATGTTATTAAAAAAACGTTCCCTAAACCCTAACTCAAAAAGTATTTTCCTTTTCTTCCTATTCCCTTTAAGTCTTTATATGCTGTGTTTGTATAAGGATAATCCTGGGGAATAGAAAATGTTGTGCTGTTCTTTGGCTCCTTAATGACAACAGCAAAAAAATAGTGCTTTCTTTTGCAGGAACTTATTTGCTTGTGCATAATCATTATAAATAGTATTTCTATGTCTCCTACATATTACAATCATGTCTCATACTCTTTCATCTGAAAGCATTTTGATGTGTATTATTTGATGTGTATTAATTAAAATGACTATTATTTTAACAAACATTCATTTGTTCATTATTATTCATATTTACCGAGTGAAGATAGCATCTACATCCCACCAGAATCATGCCAAAGTCAACCCAATGAGCATCTAAAAAATAATACACATTTCCAGTTCCAACTGGTAAGCACTTTAAACAATACTACTATTACTTTAATAAATGAATACTATGATTTCTCTTTAGAAAATAATGTCTCAGGAAATAAATGTTTCACAAAAAAAAATTAACAAATTAATTGAAAACTTTTTAGGAAGGAAGAGGTAAAGATACAATTGAATTCTATTTTAATGGCAGATGGGGAGAGGGGATAGTTGTATTTAAAGGTAGGCTTATCATTGAATTTCTTAAATAATTTCATAGAAATGTGACAAAATATTTTAATTTCATTCAATAAATTACTGTTGCTTCACCTTCTTCAAAAATAAATAAATAAATGTAGGCTTAACACCAAAAGTTGATGGTACTCAAAATTACCCTTTAAAATGTCAAATCAGAGAGGAGGGGGCCAAGATGGCTGAATAAGAGGACCTTAAACTCACCCATCCCCTGGATACAACTGGATAACACTCACATCAGTGTAAATAACCCAGAAAATAACCTAAAGACTTACAGAACAAACCCCACAACTAAAGGTAGTGAAGAAGCCACATCAAAGAGGGTAAGAAGGACAAAGACTCAGTAGGGAGTGAAATGGATGGGGAGCAAAATGGACCTGTAGGTGGGAGGCAGCTGTAATGTGGAGAAGGAAGAGAAACAGATTATCACACTGAGAAGAGAGGAAGACAAATCCCCAAAACATTTGGCTTTGAAAATTAGAGGGGTGGGGGCACCTGGGTGGCTCAGTTGATTAAGTGTCCAACTCTTGGTTTTGGCTCAGGTCATGATCTCATGGGTTGTAAGATTGAACCCTACATGGGGCTCTGCACTCAGTGGGGATTCTGCTTGAGATTCTCTCTCTCTGTCCCTCCTGCTACTCTCTCTCTCTCTCCCTCTCTCAGAAGAATAAATAAATCTTTAAAAAAATGAAAAAGAATATTAGAGGGGTCAAATTCCATGAGTGCTTACAACAGGGAGATTTAAAGCCTGGAATTTTAAAAATCAGAGGGCTCAGCTCCAGGAGAGCCCAGAGGGTGATAGGAAGCTGAGTCCCTGCCCTTAAAGAAATAGTATGACAAACAGCCCTCAGAGATACAGCGTAGAAGTAGCAGTTTGGAAACCACCTGGGGCACATGGGATGTAGAGTTATTCACACACTTCAGAGCTCAGCCTGAAGGGCAGGGTTCCCAGAGGGATTTCCCCAGGAACAGGCACCATTTTCCTCCCCTAACCCCCAGCATAAACACACAACCACCTGCAGGGACCAGCAAAGTGCCAATATTCACTACCTAACTTTCTTACAGCAAACTCCTCCCCTCCCCAACACCTCCCCGCACCCCATGCTATAGCAGATCTATCCCTTCCAGTCACATTTGCTTCAGTCCAGGTGCTGCAGTTCCCCTCCCTCAGAAGACCAGAGTAAACCTTGCCAAGGCTGCAGTTCCCAGGTCAGTCAGCCCTGGGGAAGACTGAGGCCCACCTTGTTAAAATTGTGTGCCCAATCCTCCTAGCCCTGGTCCCAGGGGCTGCAGGAAGTCTCATTTCAAAAGTAGACCTGAGTGCTCCTTGTTAAAATGGCACACCCCACCCTACCTGTGGAGCAAACACTGCCCCCACTAGGCAAAAACAGCCTCTACAGATGACTGGACTGAAGGAAAAAGTAGCCAGGACTCAACAGCAGGGCAAATGCAATACACAGAGGAATTACCTAAAGAACCAGGTCCTGGTGAACAGGGGACACTGCACTGCAGGGCACTACAGGACCTCTTCTTCGTAAGGCCATTACTTTCAACAGTGAGAGATGTACCTGACTTTCCTAAAACACAGAAATAGACACAGAGAGTTAGACAAACTGAGGAGACAGAGGAGTATGTGCCAAATGAAACAAGAGGACCAAACCACAGTAAGAGACCTAAGTGAAATGGATGTAAGTAATATGCCTGATAAAGAATTTAAAGTAATGGTCATAAAGATACTCACTGGACTTGAGTTCAAGGCTCACATTGGGCTCCACACAGTGTGGAGCCTACTTAAAAAAATTAAAATAAAAAAAATAAAGATACTCATTGGACTTGAGAAAAGAGTGAAGACATCAGTGAGACCCTTAACAAAGAGCAAAACATAAAAAAGAAACAATCAGAGATGAAGAACAGAATAAATGAAATTTAAAATATATGGAATAAATAGCAGGCTAGAAGAAGCAAAGGAATGAATTAGTGACCTGGAGGACAGAGTAATGGAAAGTAATGTTGGTTTTGATGTGGTGATCCACGATCCATTGTTTTCGTATAACACCCAGTGCTCCATGCAGTACGTGCCCTCCTTAATACCCATCACCGGGCTAACCAATCCCTCCTCCCCCATTCCCCTCTAAAACCCTGTTTGTTTCTCAGAGTCCATAGTCTCTTATGGTTCATCTCTCCCTCCAATTCCCCCCCACCCCATTTTCCCCTTCCTTCTCCTAATGTCCTCCATGCTATTCCTTATGTTCCACAGATAAGTGAAACCATATGATAATTGACTTTCTCTGCTTGACTTATTTCACTTAGCATAATCTCCTCCAGTCCCATCCATGTTGATGTAAATGTTGGGTATTCATCCTTTCTGATGGCTGAATAATATTCCATTGTATATATGGACCACATCTTCTTTATCCATTCATCTGTTGAAGGGCATCTTGGCTCTTTCCACAGTTTGGCTATTGTGGACATTGCTGCTATGAACATTGGGGTGCATATGGCCCTTCTTTTCACTACATCTGTGTCTTTGGGGTAAATACCCAGTAGTGCAATTGCTGGGTCATAGGGTAGCTCTATTTTTAAATTTTTGAGGAACCTCCAAACTGTTTTCCAAAGTGGCTGTACCAACTTGCATTCCCACCAATAGTGTAAGAGGGTTCCCCTTTCTCCACAACCTCTCCAACATTTGTTGTTTCTTTCCCTGTCCATTTTTGCTATTCTAACTGGTGTAAGGTGGTATCTCAATGTGGTTTTGATTTGGATTTCCCTGATGACTAATGATGATGAACATTTTTTCATGTGTCTGTTAGCCATTTGTATGTCTTCTTTGGAGAAGTGTCTGTTCATGTCTTCTGCCCATTTTTTGACTTGATTATTTGTTTTTTGGGTGTTGAGTTTGAGAAGTTCTTTATAGATCTTGGATACCAGCCCTTTATCTGTAGTGTCATTTGCAAATATCTTCTCCCATTCTGTGGGTTGCCTCTTTGTTTTGTTGACTGTTTCCTTTGCTGTGCAGAAGATTTTTATCTTGACGAAGTCCCAAAAGTTCATTTTTGCTTTTGTTTCACTAGCTTTTGGAGATGTATCTTTTTTTTTTTTTTTTAAGATTTTATTTATTTATTCATGAGAGACAGAGAGAGAGAGAGAGGCAGAGGGAGAAGCAGGCTCCCAAGGAGCAGGAAGCCCGATGCGGGACTCGATCCCAGGACCCTGAGATCATGACCTGAGCCGAAGGCAGACGCTTAACCATCTGAGCCACCCAGACGCCCTGGAGATGTATCTTGAAAGAAGTTGCTGTGGGCGATGTCAAAGAGGTTACTGCCTATGTTCTCCTCTAGGATTTTGATGGATTCCTGTCTCACATTGAGGTATTTCATCCATTTTGAGTTTATCTTTGTGAATGGTGTTAGAGAATGGTCGAGTTTCATTCTTCTGCATGTGGCTGTCCAATTTTCCCAGCACCATTTGTTGAAGAGACTGTCTTTTTTCCATTGCATGTTTTTTCCTGCTTTGTTGAAGATTATTTGACCATAGAGTTGAGGGTCCATATCTGGGCTCTCTATTCTGTTCCATTGGTCTTTATGTCTGTTTTGTGCCAGTACCATGCTGTCTTGGTGATCACAGCTTTGTAATATAGCTTGAAATCAAGCAACATGATGCCCCCAGCTTTGTTTTTCTTTTTCAACATTTCCTTGGCGATTTGGGGTCTTTTCTGATTCCATACAAATTTTAGGATTGTTTGTTCCAGCACTTTGAAAAATGTCATTGGAATTTTGATTGGGATGGCATTGAAGGCATAGATTGCTCTGGGTAGCATAGACATTTTAACAATGTTTATTCTTCCGATCCATGAGCATGGACTATTTTTCCATCTTTTTGTGTCTTCTTCAATTTCTTTCATGAGTGTTTTGTAGTTCCTAGAGTATAGATTCTTTACCTCTTTGCTTAGGTTTATTCCGAGGTATCTTATGGTTTTGGTGCTATTGTAAATGGAATCATTTTGCTAATTTCTCTTTCTACAGTTGCATTGTTAGTGTATAAGAAAGCAACTGATTTCTGTGCATTGATTTTGTATCCTGCCACATTACTGAATTCCTGTATGAGTTCTAGTAATTTGGGGGTGGAGTCTTTTGGAATTTCCATATAAAGTATCATGTCATCTGCGAAAAGAGAGAGTTTGACTTCTTCTTTGCCAATTTGAATACCTATTATTTCTTTTTGTTGTCTGATTGCTGTTGTTAAGACTTCTAGTACTATGCTGAACAATAGTGGCGAGAGTGGGCATCGTTGACGTGTTCCTGATCTTTTTTTTTAATTTTTTTTATTTAAAGATTTTATTTATTTATTTGACAGAGAGAGACACAGCGAGAGAGGGAACACAAGCAGGGGGAGTGGGAGAGGGAGAAGCAGGCTTCCCGCCGAGCAGGGAGCCCGATGTGGGACTCGATCCCAGGACCCTGGGATCATGACCTGAGCTGAAGGCAGTCGCTTAACCAACTGAGCCACCCAGGTGCCCGACGTGTTCCTGATCTTAAGGGAAAGGCTCTCAGCTTTTCCCCATTGAGGATGATAATCGCTGTGGGTTTTTCATAGATGGATTTTATGAACTTGAGGAATGATCCCTCTATCCCTATACTCTGAAGAGTTTTAATCAGGAAAGGATGTTGTATTTTGTCAAATGCTTTTTCTGCATCAATTGAGAGGACCATATGGTTCTTCTCCCTCCTCTTATTAATGTGTTCTATCACATTGATTGATTTGCGAATGTTGAACCACCCTTGCATCCCAGGGATAAATCTCACTTGGTCGTGGTGGATGATCCTTTTAATGTATTGTTGGATCCTATTAGCTAGGATTTTGTTGAGGATTTTGGAATCCATATTCATCAGGAATATCGGTCTGAAATTCTCCTTTTTGATGGGGTCTTTGCCTGGTTTAGGGATTAAGGTAATGCTGGCCTCATAGAATGAGTTGGGAAGTTTTCCTTCTGTTTCTATTTTTTGAAACAGCTTCAGTAGAATAGGTATTATTTCTTCTTTGAATGTTTGGTAGAATTCCCCAGGGAATCCATCAGGCCGTGGACTCTTGTTTTTTGGGAGGTTTTTGATCACTGCTTCAATCTTGTTACTGGTTATTGGTCTATTCAGGTTGTCAATTTCTTCCTGTTTCAGTCTTGGCAGCTTATAGGTTTCCAGGAAGGCCTCCATTTCATCCAGATTGCTCAGTTTATTGGCATATAGTTGTTGATAATAATTTCTAATAATTGTTTCTACTTCTTTGGTCGTGATCTCTCCCCTTTCATTCATAATTTTATTAATTTGGGCCTTCTCTTTTCTTTTGGATAAGTCTGGCCAGTGGTTTATCAATCTTATTAATTTTTTCAAAGAACCAGCTTCTAGTTTCGTTGATCTGATCTACTGTGTTTCTGGTTTCTAATTCATTGATTTCTGCCCTAATTTTAATTATTTCTCTTCTAATGCGTGGCGTAGGCATTGTTTGTTGCTTTTTCTCTAGTTCTTTAAGGTGTAGAGCTAGTTGGTGAATTCGGGATTTTTCTATTTTTTTGAGTGAGGCTTGGATGGCTATGTATTTCCCCCATAGAACCGCCTTTGCAGTATCCCATAGGTTTTGGACCGATGTGTTTTCGTTCTCATTGATTTCCATGAATTGTTTAAGTTCTTCTTTGATTTCCTGGTTGACCCAAACATTCTTGAGCAGAGTGGTCTTTAGCTTCCAAGTGTTTGAATTTCTGCCAAATTTTTTCTTGTGATTGAGTTCCAGTTTTAAAGCATTGTGGTCTGAGAATATGCAGGGAACAATCTCAATCTTTTGGTATCGGTTGAGACCTAATTTGTGACCCAGTATATGGTCTATTCTGGAGAAAGTTCCATGTGTGCTCGAGAAGAATGAGTATTATGTTGTTTTAGGGTGGAATGTTCTGTAAATATCTATGAGGTCCATCTGGTCCAATGTATCATTCAAAGCTCTTGTTTCCTTGTTGATTTTCTGCTTAGATGATCTTCCCATTGCTGAGAGAGGAGTATTGAGGTCTCCTACAATTAACGTATTGTTATCAATATGACTCTTTATTTTGGTTAACAGTTGGCTTATGTAGATGGCTGCTCCCATGTTGGGGGCATAGATATTTACAATTGTTAGATCTTCTTGTTGGATAGATCCTTTAAGAATGATATAGTGTCCTTCTGTGTCTCTTATTACAGACTCCATTCTAGCCATTGTCTTCACAATTGCTAGCCTGAATTCCCTCTCCGACATCTTGGTTATATCTGCATCCATTTGTAAATCTGCAGCATAAGTCATAATCTCTGAGTCTTTTCTATTTTGGGGGCTCCTCCTCCTAGTCATTCTGTTGATGGGTGTTTGAGGGAATGTATAGAGTCCAAATTATTGATCACAACCCAAGCAAGATGCACCTGTTTTCTTGGGACCTTAGGGTTGCTGGCCTCTTGTTTTCCCAGCCTGTCTTCTGCGGGAGGGGCCTGCTGTGCTGTTACTCAGGCAACCCTGTTTGGGCGGAGTTGCTCTGCCCCCCTGTGGCAGGGGGATGGGTTCAGCAGGAATCAGTCTTTGGGGCTTTTGTTCTCTGGCGGCTTTCTGTGTCTCTTCCGTAAGTCAGAGCAGAAGAGACCATTTCCAACCCTCTGCCTCAGAGCAGAGAGACCGCAGTCTGTTCTTCAGTCAGCTCTCCAGGCCACACCATCTCCGTTTCTGTCGGGGCTGCTATAAACTGCAGCATCCTGGGTTGTGCGCCCCTCCGCAGCACTCCCAGTCCTGCCTCCAGGTCGGGCACGTCTCTGCCCTTTGTGCTTCTAAAACCGCCAGCCACTCCCAGTTCTTGCACGCAACCCCACTGCTTGGGCCCGGGGGCTGCCCTAAAGTCCTTTCCCCGCTGCTACCGGTCTGCGAGTCTGTGCCCATCCGCAGCGCGCGAGGCTGTCGCTCACCGGCGGGGTAGGATCCCCAGGGCCAGGCTCCCTCCCGCTGCCGTTTATCCTCCGATATCTGCCTGCGCGGAATCACGGCTTCCCGCTTCATACCTCAAAACCAACCGCCTGCGATATTCTGCTTGTAGAGATCCAGATCTTCTTACATCTCAGGCTGGTTTTGTAGGTGCTCAGAGTGGTCGGTAGATATGCAGCTCAATTCCAGGGACCA